TTAAGAAGATGGTGGCTTAGGTAATTAAATGGGCATCTTGTAGGTCTTTTAAAAAACATTAGGTAAATGTTGTAAAGCATCACAGCAGTGATCAGGCTGAACCTGGAAAACAAAGTGCTACCATATAAACAAGACCAGAAAGTTCTTGTTTTACACTAGAGGTACCTCCAACGAAATTAATGGAATAGTTCTGTGGTAATCAGAAGAATTTACTGGTTCAAACAGTGTATTTTTTAAACTACTTTCTAAACAAAAAATGCATTATTTCTCTCAGCCTATAAGTATTTTTTTCCTAATTACATATATTTAAAAGTCTTTGTGTGCACCCTATGTACTGACTACTAACTAGGTAGACAAATCATGGCAAATTATGGGGAAAATTTTATATTCTTCACAAAAATCATGCAAATATGAAATGAAACATATCTGATGCTCATGTAATTTCACACTCTTCGTGGTATGGTATGAGAAAAGATTCAAATTTCTCTTTGACCACTGCAATTTCTGGGAAGGGGGAAGTTATGTGGGTTTTTAACTTGTATTTTTCATAACAGTACATTGCCAAAAATATTCCAGTCTCCCTAGGGCTCTAATGAAAGGCTATGAGTAGGTTAATGGATTATAATGAAAATCCAGCATGTTCAAATGTGAAAGAAGGGGGGGGGTGGTTTTTCTCTTTTATTCCCTCACATCTTTTATTTTCTCTGAACCAAATGGCTCACTAATGCATTTAGAGCTCTCTCCTGTTGGAAAAAGCTGTTGCTCTAGCTGTGAAACAGCCCAACCCACTCAACAGCAGGTCTGCCCCTCTCCCACCTCCCACACCTGCCACTCTTTCCTTCCCAGAGAGCCTGTTTCACCCAGCTGGCTGGGCACAGAAGAATGGAAGAGCTTGGGTCTCTTTTTTATTGGTCTTCCTGGAAAGAAAGTTTTGTCATAATCTTCAGCCTCCCCTCCCCTGAAAACACAGAGGAAAAAATCCTCCTTGTTTCATTTTGCTCATATGTCTTGGCAAAGATAAAGAAGAAAGCCAAAGAAGACAGGAGGATTTGTGAGGAAACCTAAAAGGGAACAGACAGTATTTAAAAGCCAGGAAAATACAGAGAAAGACACAGAAATCCTCCTTTGGAAGACTAACAGACCAGTCCAAATGCATACAGCCTCTCCACATCCTATTGGAGGTGGTCCAACGCATCCTGTTGGACCTATTGCAAAGGGAAATCATTCCTTCCAAAGCAGCTACACGTTATTGTGCAAGTGGTTCTAGGCAGATTCAGCCCCAGTGCTACTGAAGGGTCTTTCCTGAGGCGGCAGCTGAAGATATAAACTACAGAGTACATAGTTTTAAAAGGCAGCCAAAGAAATTTGGAAATCCTTTTCAAGATTTTATCCTTACTACACTTCAAGGTGCCAGTAGGATTTGTTTGGAGGAAAGCAGAAAAATTAACATTTGACAGACACTTTCAATTTTCATACATACCAGTGACAGAAGCTGTGACTCTAGAGTAAAATAATCTTTATGTATCTTCAGTAATATGTCCATTATATAAAATTATTATTTTCTAGGTGATGTGGAAAGTTCAACCCTGTAATTTGAAATATAATGCACCTATTTATTTCTCATTTTCTGTGGCTTTGTGTCCATGATTTACAGTGTTTACTTCTGAAAACAGAAACTCAATTCCCACAAATGCATTAAACTTCTCACTGGCAAGCTCTTTAAATAGATTGACAAACACTGTCTTTGTCTTCCAAAATATAGCTGAAACTGATCATCACTAAAATGCTTCTCAGTGAGTCACTGCCTTCTTCGGTAAGTTATCCTTCTCAGAGAACCCCCAGTGATGAAACAGCCTGGCCATGCCCTGGACAAGCTGCTTTATAAATGCAGGCTTTCACAGAGAGCTGTTATGTACTGGGAACTTGTGATCAGATCTGAAAAAGGGCAAAACACCTTCAGTAGAAAAGCATCTAAAATATAATTCTAACCAGATACTGGCCTCTTTCCTGAGCTCTGCCACTTTATTCGCCCTGATGTATTTTCCCCTTGCAGAATCACAGAGCTGGAAGAACTACACTGTATTGATGAAAAAAAACCCCATTTCATTGTGAAAGGTCTGTAAACAACAGGACATTAGAGTGGTTTCAATACATTCCCTGACAATCCTGGAATGTGGGAGGTGGGAATTTTCAAAAGACCGTCAGCAGCATCATTATGAGGTTCTTGAAAGAAAACCCTGGACAGATATGAAATGGTAGATGATATTTTATTCAGCTGCCCTCTCCCCCCCCCAATCACATGCAAAGAGATAAAATGTGGTTGAAAAGTTTTGAACCCGGGTGTCTGTATACAGAGTAGATACCAAACTGACCACTAAAAATAGCTTCCTAAATCACGCTCTACTTACACATGATTTAAATGCTGCTATTTGAAATTTCACTATTAACAGCAGCAGGAAATCTGAACAATAAATCACTTATGTAAAGACAGTGTCACATATTCCATACAGGTCTGTAAAAAAGGGGAGGAAAAATGAATAAGCAAAATAATTTTCAAGGCTTGCCCACAGGGATAATTCTGTATTCGCTGACAAAATTCTGTAACTTTGCTTAGTGTGCCATGATGACCTAAAAATGTGTGTGTGTATGTGTATATTTATATATCTATAAAGATGTGATCTTTCTGATTATGATTTGTAGTTCTACAGGCAACCTAGCAGAATTTTTCAATATGCTGAGTTATTACAGAGAAGGCTGTTCAAACTGCAGCTTTCATTTGAACAATAGGGCTACTTTCCCCTCACTGATTATGATTAATCATTCCCTTGCTCTTTCTTTTTACTTGAAATACCTTTGACGTAATGATCTTCAAGTAAACAAAACAAAACCATTTTCCTTATATAAAATGATTAAGTTTATATGCAATCTTTATTGTCTTACAAAGAGAAATTTTATAACCGTCATTCTAGGTGTTGTTATTCATAAAATGTACTACCACACAAATTTTCATTTGCACTGGGATAAACTACTCTCATGTCTGTTACTTAAGCAATATTCCCTATAAAATATATTTAGAGTGACTAAGTGCCTGTGCCTTTCCAGGCGTTAGCCACACACAGCAAGACTAACAGGCAAGTGAGGAAATTTGTTGTCCCTTGAAATATGACTTTAGATGTGTTCCCTCAGTTGTTATTAGGTTTACCCATTGTACTTTCAGCAGCTTATTTAGGAAGACATCATTTTAACAAAACACTCTTCTTTTTATTGATTCAGTCATTCACAAACTTTCCTGCCATGGTCTGGCTTTTTAAACAAGTGATTTAAATCTTTTGTCAAAAAAATAGTCATTTAAGTACTCAAAATTCACTGCACCTTTGACTCAGTTTAATGTTTATTTCCTTAAAAATCATGGTTGCTAAATATGTCTGTCTGAAACATACACACCCAAGCTGCTTTTCCTCTTATCTGTATTCTTTACAGGAATTCCTGGTTTCCAGAAAGCCAGACAGTATCTGAAGAACTCATTTTGCTGCCCAGGCAATTTCACTTTCTTCTTTATCAGCTCAAATTGCCAAATCTTTTATTCCTTTCTGCCTCTCAGATGTACTTCCAGTCTGCAAAATATTTACTATGGTATTTTGATTTAGTATGTGACATTATGAATTTATCACAGTGAATCTCACATTTTGCTATGATCTGCTAGATTGACTTATTTTTAGAAAGGGTTGTCAGCTCAGGGACATATATTGTGATGTTCACAGAGCAAATACTCCTATTCCATTGTGTTATTATTACCAGTGGCAAATGCAGGCTCCATGGCTCTCTATTGGTATTTCTTTATGTTGACTGGTTCAATTGCAATAAAACAAAACCATTCCAGTCCTGCCTGGAAGTTTGGACCCCCTGCAAATTTTCTAAAAGAGTTCAGTTCATTAGATCAAAGGTTTTTTTCTGAAATAAAAGAAATAACTCTTGGTTCCTTTGAACAAGAGAAGATTTTAATTTTTTTCAGTTGTACTTTATGTGGGATAAATCTAGTGGATCAGGTCAGAGAGCTGGAACACATTAATTCTTGACAGAGATGATGATATAAACAGGAAAATACCTTGGAGATGTTAACAATGGAGACAAGAAACTTGAATTTAAAGCTGGAAAAAAACCCAAGAGTTATGCATAAATTTTAGGTATCTTCTTTTGACTAGACTGTAAAAGCAAAAAACAAGACAAAAAGATGGGGCAGATAACCAGGTAAGTAAAACCTTATGGGTTTAGCTTAGCCTTGGATCCACAGAATCACAGAGCAACTGAAGCTGGATGGGATCCTGCAGGTCATCTGCTGCAAAGACTGCTCAGATGAGCATCAGCAAGCACAGGGCCTTGCCTCATTGTGTTATGAGCATCTCCAACAGTGTAGATTTCTCAGCTTCTCTGGATAATCTGTGCCAATGTCCTATCACCCCACAGAACTCTCTTTTTTTTTTTTTTTTTTTTTTTTAAATAATACCTGGTCAAAGTTTTCTCTGTTGCAACTTGTGGCTATTGCCCTCTGCTCTGCAGCCATGCTCTTCTGAGAAGTCTGGAGCACCTCCCCTATATACAGCCAGAGGAAGAAAATAGCTCTGCAGAGAATGATGTACCACTCAGCCAGAGTGTTCCTTCCAACTATCTATGCTTAAAGCATCTAGGTTAAGATAAGGCAGCAGCACAAATGTTGGGAAAATCTGTTCTTTGAATACATTAGTATTTATTATTAGTAGTAATTCTCCTTTTGTCTTCACATCACAGATTCCCAGTCAAGGGCAGGGTAGCTGGTATCTGGTCTCATACTTTCCTTGTAGTAAGGTAAGTATGAGACCAGATACCAGCTACCCTGGACTAACAAGTTGAATTCAAAGGTGTTTCAATTTTTTTCTGCCATTACAAAGAAATATTTCTTAAAAGATCATACAAAACTGCTAATTTCAGGATTGCCAGTCTCCGACTTTTTAAACAAATCTGTCTCGGCTCAGAATAATTTTCTGATTCATAATGAGCATCTATTGTGTTTGTGACAATTTAATTTCTTACGTAACTTTGCTTAGAATTACTGCAGAAATAAAGTAGCAAATAAATTACGGTAAAACTAAGCCCTTCCTGTGGATTTGTTATGCTCCACTGACACATCTTAGTTTCTGTCCTCCATCTTCATTCAGTATTAGTATTCTTCAGCTGAGGGAAATATCACAAAAAGGATTATTGAATTTTGTTGTACTAAAATGCCATATCTTGCTCCCTGTTTTGACATTTTTCTTGATCAATACCTTGTCAATGCAAAATAGACACAGCTATTTAACTTTCTGTGTGCAAAGAATATGGGCTATTACTGGATTTCTCAAAGGCCAATGTGTGGGACATGAAGGAAGCAGCCCATAATGGTGGGCAGACTTAGTGAGAGAAAATGGGACAGACAAGGCAGACATAGCACACAATTGCAAATAAAGAAAAAAAATAAGGTTGAGGAAAATATTCTTATCTTCTAAGGGCTTCTATGGATACACAAAATGTTTTTCCCTCTTATAATACAAAACACAGTGAAATAGGAGGCAGGTCTGGTCATAAAACCGCAACAAGTAAAATTTGATGCATTCTTTCTTCTTACCTGGGTCATCCATACACAAATTTCAAAAAACTTGTGACACAGGCAAAACCAGCTGCTTATTATCTTCAGTATGTCCACTATAGAGTTATCTGCAATTCAAGGAAACACATAGAAGTGATGCCTGTTACTATCTGTGGTACAAATATCCACTTGGGTTTTTTTGCAGGTAGCATTATCAAGCAAAAGTCACCGCTAGAGAACATGCTTTTCCCATCTGTGTTCAGCCTGCCCTTACTGGTGCAACAAAATGGAATTTTCATCTCTGATGCTTCCAGTTGTGTTAACATTACAGGAACCAGTTTCTCTGTGAAGACCACTTCATCACTCTCAACAGAATCAATTAAAGCTGCTGATTTTCAGACAGAAAACATCAAAGCATTTTGCATGTATGTCTTTCAATCCTTCATCATAAATCAGAATTTTAGGTTTGATCTTTAGTGTTTTAGTTACTTTAGATGTCAACAGTAAAATATACCATGTGTGTGTAGTTCCAACAAAGTGATGTCCCATTCTTTTGCAGTTACAGAAATACTGCATCTCATTCTCACCAAGGTCAGCGAGTCCTTGGAAAGCAGCCTGTGAAACAGGGCCTTTGGACAAGGAGAGACTTTTCCAACTCCATCTAAAGAATAAAAAGGTAACAGCAGAGCTCCTTCATTACATGTTCACCACTGTAGCTTACAACGAAAAGCCTGATTACACTTCTAAAATACTTGTTGTGGGGTTTTGCTTATTTTCTTAAAGAATAATTGCACTGCATTATTTTCCACTCCCATATGAAATTCTGCATGAGATTTCTCTAAAGCAGATTTATGGCATTCTGCATGATAAGCCTGGGATTTTTCTTATTTTATCCAAACAAGGCAGTGCTTGCATTCACAATTTAAATGAAAAAAGAACATGCAGTTCTTAAGCAGAATTATGCCAAAAACTTCCTATGCTAACTGATTTATATAGTCTGAGTATTTAAAAATGCATTGGTTAATCAATCCCTAGCACTAAGATAAACAGAGAAGAATTGGTTTTAGAAATGGGAAAGGAAAATGAAGTAGGCCGAAACACAAATCTGTGTTTTCAGTCTTCACTCTTACTTGTTTACCATTTCTAATGGAGTAGGAAGTGTTTCTTCACACAGTGTTTTCTTCTTCAACTTTCTACTGATGTTCTGATCCTTTGACTACTGGCAAAGCTGCTAAATCAAAATCTGTGAATAAAATTCACATCATAAGTTATATACTTATTTTAATTACTTTTAGACATGCTGAGAATATCTGCAAGGTGATTAATATAACCTGCTTTAATGTAAAATCATGCTAATGGCAAATAATATCTTTCTTGGGCTTTCTACACAGAGAATATAAATCCTTACTAATGAAAGAAAAAGCTTTTACATCAGAGTAGGATTACTGAACAAAAACTACAGCAGATATATATATATATATCTCAGAAATCATTTGCACATTAAGAAACTTACAAATCCTGAATATACCTAGAGAATGTAGTTACATCTAAATACTATATACATATAATAAAGAAGAAGAAAAGTGAGGAAATTTACTCCTCACATTCCTCTGGATTATTACATTGGATTTAATTTTTGAATGCAGGTATATTATATCCAGTTCTCCTGAGCTAGAAATTCATTAAGACTTTAATGTTTGATGTTTGAGCAATGACTTTTCTATTCTTCTTTACTTCTTTTCCAGTCCTTTTTAGCTAGAGGGAAGGGCCAATTTACTGAAACATCAATATTTACTTAATCACTATGCTGCACACTCTCAATATTACCCAGGGAAGAATAGTGCATGCTAAATATGAGACAAATTGGAAAAGCAATGTAACTAACCTTAATTAAGGTGTGATAAATAATAATAGCAAAGCATCACAAAAATAATTTGAATGCATTTTAATCTACAAAACATTCAGGTAGGTTATGACAGACTCTCACTCATTATTTGGAAGACAAATTATTTGATGTATCATGCGTCTTGTTGACAACAAGATCCAATACTTTCTGTGTCAAATCCAAGCTGCATTGTTAAGCTGCACAGCTGAGCCACCAAACACAAATGGGGTGGAATACACAAAAATTAGACACATATATGTGGCATCCCTCAAAAACAACTAACAAGAAACAGGAAGTTTAAGGATGCAAAATATCTGAAGGCAAAAGTATCAAATAGTGCAGGTGAATCTCACTTGAGAAGAGCCGACTTTAATGGGAGTCAAGGCAACCAGAGTGGGATTCATTTAGAGGTTATAACCACCAAAATCTAGCTGGTTAAGGTGCTTTAATCAGCACAGATGCAGATGGTATCCCTGAGACTAAAGAGTGATTCAGGTGTCCAACTGCTTGATACAGGATTTATATGTGCAATAGTGGAAGTTTGGACCATTTTACCTGTCACTGGTATCCTGGGTATCATACTGAGGAGCAAGAAGAGTAAAAATCTCTCTGGAGTCGACCATCTTTTCCAACCCCTTGCAGTGGGCTTAGATCAACAGAGTGTTTCAAATGGCACGAGCAAAACTACTTTTAGGTAACTGAATCCTGTCCTACCCAAATGCCACCACCCTGCAATGATCTAATTACATAATGAACAGATGAGAGCATAGCAAAATCAGATGTTTCAGCGGTTTCCACACTCTTTTTTCATAGTGGGAAAGAAATGTGTCTACTAGACCATTCTGAAGAATTCTTTGAGACTCTGGAAAATGTCTGGAGGCACTTCCATGAAGCACCATTGCTAAGAAATTTGCCTTTCCAAGCAGGATCTTCAGCACAGATTTTAGATCAACTGATTGGACATACTCAAGATCCACAAGAAGGAAGTCCATGTGATAGGCAGGGCATGAAGATGGCACATGCCATGCTAGTCCATGATAAAAGGTGCTTTGTTTCACTCTCCTTGCCCAGTTGCACCATGCCAGCTAACAAAACAAGACTTAAGGACCTGCTTCCTAAGGAGAAGTTGATAAGAAAGTCACACCATTGCTATTAGTTTTTATATGGAAGTGCATGGTGAAAAAAATTCTCCAAGCTGATCAGAAAAGCCTCAATACAAGGTAAAATAAGCATTATTTGAACAAGCAAAGCAAATGTTAACACATTGGTTCCAAATATGTTTTGCAGAACTGAAGTTTAAAAAAACACATCTTAACTAAACTGTTGCCAAAAGCAAAAATAACTCTTCCCTACTAAGCAATTTGCTTATTAAAATATTAAAAGTAGGATGTGTTCTTTTTTGGTTCTTATTTAACAGACTGGATTAAGAGCTCAGTGGCTCAAGCATAATCATTTCTAGGTCTTTTCAGCTGAATTTACTATTTTATGTGGATCAAAACTAATCCTTTCCTTTTCTAAGGATTTGTAGATGTATGTGTCACAGTTCAGTAAATGTGACTAGTGGAGTATATGTTTAGGAAACATTTTCTTTCTTTTTGTGTGCTTAGCTGTATCTAGCTTGAGTATTAACCAAAGTTATATGAACAGAGTCACATGAATGGGTTAAAATTAACCCATCATAAAGACCCACTGTCAATAAAAAGTTGAAATGAATTTTTATTAAGGTCACACTCAATTTTTTTAAGAGAATCAGACAAGAGTTTACAGAAGAAAAAAAAAACAACTGTGAGGGCTCCCATTTTTCTGCCTTTTGTTTTTTCCAGTTTCAATTACTTTTTATCTCTAAAACTTTAGAAAAAGATTCAAAGGCTTTTCTACACTTAGTTCAAAGGCAGCTTTAGGTTCCAAATTTTACAGTCATAAATATGTGCGAGGGAAATTTTTGATTGATTGAAGCAGATTGCAAAGGTCCCTTCAAAAAGTTCAGAAATAAAAGCTGTGTTCTCTTCTGAAATTTTCTTGAAGATCTATATTTTTCTATCACTAGCTTGGAATTTCTCTACATTAACCTGTACATTTCTCTCTTTCTTGACATGTATGTTTACAGGGAGGAAGAGAGAAGCAGCATTGCATATGCTAAAGCACAGCATCTAAGATGAAGGGGTTTTTTTGGTAAATAAAATAGTGCTGAGGGAACTGGCCAGTGTCACTGCAAAGCTGCACTACAGGGCCTCTTGTGACAAGCATGGGAGGTTCCTACTGACTGGTAAAACAGAAACACCAGACCCAGGAAGAGAAAGAAGAGCTGAACAACTACAAAGCAAACATTTTAATATCTGAGGAGTTTATGGAGCAGATTCTCCTGCATCCTTTATCTGAGGCATATGATGGACTCAAGGTGACTGGGTGCCAATTTAATCAATACCAATTTAAAGAGGGCAAAGTCTGTTTGAGCAACTTAATAACTTTCAATGATGAGATGGTCAACTATGCAGCTGATGGGAAAGCACTGGATGTCATTTACCACGTCTTTGCTACAATTTTCAGGGAAACTCAACAAGAGCAGAAGCAAGTCCTGTATCTGGGATGGAATGCCATCAGGTAACAAAACTCGTTGAGGAAGATCAGTTTTACAGAAAAGTGAGCAGTGAAGCGCTGGGCTGCATAGAAAGTGAGGTCAGCAAAGTGCAGGAAGTGATTCTTCTGTACACAGCACCTGAGACTGCATCTGGAGTATTGTCTTTAGCCAGAAAAAATATTCTGATTATTTTGTTCCTCTAGATGTCACACAATTAAATGTTTAATCAGATTTTCTTCATATTGTTCCAGGTTGTAAACACTGATACTAATTCCTGCACCAGTAGGAACCAGCAGTGTCTGGCTGGCTTGAAAGCAGTTTTGCAGAAAATTACTCAGAGAGCTGGTGGACAACAAGCTGACCATGAGCCGCCAATGTGCCCACAGTGGGAAAGGACACCAGCTGCTTCCTGGGCTGCATTAAGAGCATCACCAGCACATCAAAGGAGGTGATCCTTTTACTCCGAGAGAATTCAAACACTGGCATAGGTTGTCCAGATAGGCTGTGTAGTTTTCATCCTTGTAAATATTCCAAATTTAACTGGAAAAGGATCCAGGTGACCAGCTTTAGATGATACTGCCTTGAGGAGGAGAAATGAAATAAACCATCTCAGAGGTACCTTACATCCTCAAATACTCTGCAATTTTGAAAAGAATAATGTAGATAACAACATAAAAATCTTCAGCATGCCAAAAAATAGCAAGATAACCTCTTTCCTGTAACATTCATGTTCTGAAAACCATACAAGCAGCTTGAACAGAGTAATTGACTCAAGAAGTCAATAGGGTTTCTTAGAAAATCCGTTTCCACCGTACTGATAAAGCCTTTGATAAAACATGTCTTCATAGGCTTTGAAGCAGAGTTAATATGATTCTCTTTGAAGTGAAAAAGACTAGTTTAGTCTGACAAAATATCAATAGCAAGCACAACCATTTCACCTGTGGTACTTAGTCATTCAACAAACATAGTCGGTCTGCTTCAGAAGATCATTCGTTTCCACAATCATCTTCCTGTCTAGGGAGTCAATAGGAGTTTTACCTGGAACAGATATGTTCTACCTCATGCAGCATGGACTGCGCAAGAAAACAACAGGCAAAACAGAGCAAATGCACTCTTATCTGTTCTTGGGGGTTTTGGCTAATCTAAATCTGTAAATTAGACCATGGACCTCACTAAATACCTACAAACACTCCTCAAAAACCGAAACTCAGCTGATACTTCTCTGACATTCTCCCTTTCAAAATAAACACTTCTAATTATAAGTCAAACTAAAGTAAACTAAACTAAAATTGTTCTAAGTCCCCTAAACTATCTTAGTCATGTCTTATAAAAATGACAACTTGGACGAACTTTTGAGTAGACAGGATTTCCTCCAGCTAACAGTTTTCCACAGACACTTTATTGAAGGTGATCAGTTTATTTGTGATATAGATAGGAAGAATGGGGATTAAAAACTATGATAAAAATTTATTAGAAGCAGTAAGTCTAACAAATGAGTTTAAATTATTTGTGAGGATATTTCTCTTCAGCTCTTAATTTATATATTATGATTTTGTAACCTACTAAATTCTGAATGCTCAATTCTGTAAAAATATGATTCCTGCTACAACTTGATATTAAGACCAATTACTACATCATAATGAATGTCACATTACCATTTTAGTTTCTGAACTTCCTGCCAAAGCAACAAGCTTCATTGTGAATCCCCAAAAAACCAAGGAAAATTGTTAATATGACACATCGG